ACCAAATCAACATGCATTTTACGATGCTAAAGTAGATTGCTATTTTTAAACTAAGACAAAAAAACCAAAGTACGTTGTTATTTTTTGCACTTGGGACAAAAACCTAATTACCAAAGTTTTTAGCAAATAATCACCACAAAACCAAAATTACCAAATCAACATGCATTTTACGATGCTAAAGTAGATTACTATTTTTAAACTAAGACAAAAAACCAAAGTACGTTGTTATTTTTTGCACTTGGGACAAAAACCTAATTACCAAACTTTTTAGCAAATAATAACCACAAAACCAAAATTACCAAATTAACATGCATTTTACGATGCTAAAGTAGATTGTTATTTTTAAACTAAGACAAAAAACCAAAGTACGTTGTTATTTTTTGCACTTGGGACAAAAACCTAATTACCAAAGTTTTTAGCAAATAATCACCACAAAACCAAAATTACCAAATCAACATGCATTTTACGATGCTAAAGTAGATTACTATTTTTAAACTAAGACAAAAAATCAAAGTACGTTGTTATTTTTCGCACTTGGGACAAAAACCTAATTACCAAATTTTTTAGCAAATAATCACCACAAAACCAAAGTAGATTGTTTTACTTGTGATGGTTGTGATAGTTGTGGTGATGGTTGCAAAGGCTGTGGAATCGGCGGGAGAGCAGAAGGTTTACGACCAGTGCCTCTAATATGGCCACGTCGCTCTCCTAATACTTTCTCAAACGCAACTCTTTCTTGATCGGGTGTTAACTCACTTTCACCTTGAGTTTGTTCTAACAGCCCTTCAACTAACCGATTCTGTAACTCCCAAAAGTGAGTAACAATTAAGTATAAATAAACATTTAATTATATGATAAAATTATAATTAAATACTTACATATTGTTGTTCCGCCTCAGCAGTAACAAATACACCATTCTTATCGGTATGAGCTTTGCGAAACGTTTCCACTCTCTTAAGGTTCTGTTTAACTTTAAAAATTAGATTATATTTTAAAAAAATAATTACATGTATTGTACGTTACCTTCTTATAGCAAGTACTGTTATACGAGCTCGACCCCCCACGATTCACATTTGTTTGCATTTCACGGATTTTTTTGTTCCTTTCTGAAGCAATTCTATGTTCGTCTGTTTGGAAATACTCAACTGTTTTCTTCCAGTTATCAACTTCCATACCCTTTGGAAGGTTGGCTAATGCTCCCGGGATATCTTCATACCCTCTGACTGACATAAAATATTCTTTTGCGTCAGCTTTACGTTCTCGATAACCTTTTAACAAAGCTGCTTGAAAACTTTCTGTCAACATATTAGCTTGTATATCCCGATACATCTGATCCAAATCAAACTTTGTCTACAAAAAAAAAAGTTAACCAAGTAAAAAACAATTATAGTTAACCATATAAAATATATTTAAATAAATAATTACCGCTAAATGTTGTAATACGGTGTCCTGTATTGCAGGGGAAACTTTTTTCCAAGTCCATTTATCAAAAGGGACCATGTGCCACATTGTTTTTCCAACTTCTCGGGAAAACATGTCTTTCGGCTCTCCTACGGGATCAAATGTGATATCCCTATCATATTCGATGCTAATCGGTTTGCCCTGGTTCCGTAAGATCGCTTTTTCAAGCTTTATATTTTTCGCTTTGCCTCGAACTTTCCTTCGTGCACGTTGCTCAACTACAAATGTAATTAAAAATTATTAGAAACGATATTTAATTTATAATAACTGAACAAAAATAGTAAATAAACATTCATAATAAGACTTATCGTCCTGCTCGTGATGACCAGCACCTCTACCACCTGGGAGAGGTGGGTCCTCAGCTCCATCACCCCCGTGTCCACGACCCATAATAGCAGCCATGGTATACATAAACAAAAGCCATATTGTCATCATTTCCTGAAAAATTATAACATATACCAATACAATTTTTATTACAAATACACATTACATAGAAATAAACATTTACATAGGAATAAACATTTCTATTTAAACTAGAAATCCAAATAAAGTTCATATTACAAACACGTATTACATAAGAACTATTCTAATCAGAATCTTCCTCATATCCTTCAGTGTCTTCTTCGGTATCATAATCATAATCGGTCTCATCGTAGTAAGTCTCGCAATCAGAAACATCATTGACTTTACCAGTCGGCGGAGGAACTTCAGTTGCACTTTCTAAATAAACAATGACTCTAGGAATGTTCTGAAAGTACATGCTGAAATCGATAAAAAGTGGAGCATCGGATGAAGAGATATTTTGAAGTACATCGACATTGTCTACATTTTCGTGTGAACCATTGTCAACATTTTGGACATGGTCATCGTTCGATGGTAGATCCCAAATACTTCGATGATTAACATGCTCGACAACACACCGATGGTTATTGAAAAAAAAATAGTTTGTTTCTTTTAATATGTTTAGCAACTAGTTTTTAATGAATAAAATATTAAATAAAGAAAAATTAATAATTTGATATATCCATAAAAAACATTTCTTACTATTGTACATTTTTATATTTTTTTTATTTATAACATTTTTTATTTTATTTTTCAATTATACGATTGTACTTTAAAAAATTATATTATGTTGTTGTGTTGTTCTTTTTTACCGTCGAGATTAAAAAATATATATATTTTTTATTTCTAACATTGTATAAATATGTTGCAAATAAAAAATTTAAAAACTAAAAAAGACATGAAAATATAAATATGAAACTATAGAAATATAACATTATCAGTTAATTTGAAGAGTATAAGTTAACTATAGAACTTATTGGTTAATTTGGGGTTAGGTTGGGAAGAAATTAGAAACTTTCTAGTATTTGTATATAAGTTTTTAAACAATTTTATAACATTTTTTTGTTATTTTTTTCCAATTATAACAATAATTTTTTTTTATTTTTTTTTAATTATAGCATCCTACTTATACCAAAACCACATACTTTTACATAATACATAAGAGCATGAAATTCACATACTTTCACATATATATACCACATATACACCAAATACAAATACATTCACATACACACAAAATAACATCCTACTTAAACCAAATACACATAATTTCACATATATAGATAATAACATCCTATTTATACCAAATACACAAATTTCACATTCATATACCACATTTACAACAAACATACATACATTCACATACACACACAATAACATCCTACTTATAACAAACACATATAATTTCACATATATATAGATAATAACATCATATATATACTTCTACCAAATACTCATATACCAAATATACATCAAACACACATACATTGGCATATATACACCAAATTCACATATATTCATACAAATATCAAATATACACACAATTTTCACATATGACAATTTTCACATAATTTTCACATACAAATACCAAATTCACAAAAAATTGAAATAATAGAACCTGTAGTGGCGGAAATCAACGGATATGTAGCCGGAAAAATTGGTCTTCACCCGAAAATACCCTCACCCGTAAACCCAAAGACAACACCACCAAAAACACTGAAATTGAACAATTTCTTGCAATTTAATCATCAAATGCAGCTAGAAATCGAAATTAACATACAAATACAAAGAGATACAAGAAATTCAACTTACCTTTCTTCAATAGATGGAGCTAGAAATCGGTCCCAAGAAGCCCTAACCACCCTTGATCCCTAATCTCACACAATGTGGGGAGATATGTTGTTTGAATCAACTAATTGAACACAAGATCAGGGGAACTTGGAAAAGGCGCAGCGTATAGCAGCAACATAATGAAAATGGGAAGAAATGAGCAATATGCGTGCGTTTTTTTTATCTGCGAGGAGCCTTTAGCGGCGACGACTAGGGCTTTACCGGCGACTCAAGTCAATAGCGGCGACAATCTGGAGGGAAGGGTACCGCGTCATTTTTTAGGTAACTATTAGCGGCGACGTTTTAGACTTTTAGCGGCGACACAAATGTCGCCGGTATTAGGTTTGTGCGGATAAGGGACCCCAACCGTTGGATTAGATACTTGATCGAACGGCTGAGATCTAACAGAGGGAGAAAATGCGGATTCGGGTGATAAGCCTTTAGCAGCGACACTATTACCGGTGACATGGACTTTTAGCGGCGACTCTAGCATTTGTCGCCGCTAAAAGTCCATGTCGCCGGTAATAGTGTCGCCGCTAAAGGCTTATATTCTTGTAGTGTGACAAGATTTATTAACAAGACAACGTTATCGGAAGTGTGCGAGAATCACAACATGCCATTAACTTAAACACCAATGAAGTTATCATTCCATCCAATTAATTGATTTTTATGATTACCTGAAATTTATTTTAGATTTTGAATTTGAAGAAATTTAATATGATTATTGGGTATAAATTCAATATTTGTAACTAGTAAACATTGTCCTGCTATGTTCGCTTAAGGAATTTGACAAACTTATATAGTTTAGCGTAAAACAATAATGTATGCCTGATTCTTGTTCTATTTTTCCTATTTTTTTATGGCGAGAGTAATGAAATTGTGCTGTTAAAAAGAAAGAACTATAATGTATGCCTAGTATATTCAGTTAACGTGTATGTTAGGATAAATACCCAACCACAGTTAATCATACGGGTGAAATTCAGAAACCTTGAAAAGTTGGCAAAAGTCGTTGCCATCCCTAACTTTGGCACAACAATAACCAAGAGAAAACATTGCCAATATGCATAAAAGTACCAAGTCGTTTCATGTAGTTTTGTTTAAAATTATTCTTTAAAAGTTGCATATCATATATTTTATTTAATAACTACCAAAGGCTTCTAGCTTATATATCTTTTGTTGTCGAAATGTGCCTCTCACCCATAAGATGATAGGTTCAAGACCCATTTGGAATAAACTATGTAATTTAGGAATAAAGCAGCCGATATGTTCTTAAAGAGAAAAAAAAAATACTCAATTTGATATTAAAACTCAATTTGTCATATTCCTGAAACAATTATATATGGGAATGATAAAGCTATTGACTACGTAACAAATACATATATAATAACAAAATATTTTCTCTTCATTCATAATTGTTATACAAGGATGACAGACGGGTCGATTGGAAGCTCAAAATGTATCACTTTCTCAAGTTCGATCTTGTAGCGGGTGAGCGCTTCAGCTATTAGCTTATCTACATCAAGCTTCGCACATCCTGGAGGTGGAGCCGGCTGCCCGCTAGCCGGTGGTGGTGGTGGAGGCGGAGGTGGAGGCGGAGGTGGAGGCGGAGGCGGAGCTGGAGCTGGAGCTGGAGAGGGAGGTGGTTTCTTTCCTTTGGGGGGACAATCAGAGTAGCAAAAGCACATGTATTTTGCTTCACGTTGGTGACAAGCACCATTTTTTGCACCCTCCCATTCTATGCACTGTTTGTTGCATTTGTCGGTATCTTTGCACGTTCCAGACCAGGTCTTGCTTGGCTTTTCACATAATTCTCCCTTCACCGTGGTGATTTCTTTTCACGTAATTAAAATTTGATTATAACAAAAAAAAGTCAAATAAGATATTATGAATGGAGGTGAAGATATTTGTTTTCCTTTTGCATTATTATTTAGTACAATATGTTTTAGTTAGTTTACCATCAAAGTTATTAAACCAAATATTGTTCAGTTGGTAAGATAATATTCCGACGATTATTGCTTTGAAGCTCAAAATTGGCCTTTTGAAAATCATTTTAACAAAGTGAAACGGAAAAATTACTATTACAAAAAGTTCATCCTTTTTTTTTTTTTATTTTAGTAAGTATAAATTTTTACTTGACTTAATCCAATCAAGATTATCAAAAAAAAAAAAAATTACTACTTAGTGTCATTAAGTTTGTAAAATAAGGCACATTACTAATTTTGCAAGAAACGAATCACCCGCATTTATTTATTTAGCGGCAATAACTTTTTTCAGAAAAAAAAAAAAAACAAAAACAAAACAAAACAAAAAGTACCAACCGGATGGTGAGGCTTTAGGAAAATAGATAATTACATTCACTCGCAATTGATATTGAAGATTTGAAAATGAATATATGAAATCATGTTTTGCAACCGAATAATGAACGAGGCTTAATTTTGAGCAAGAGAATGATCCCAAACAGAAATAGTTAACATCACCTGTAATGTATTTCTGGTTTTGTATAAAACTTCAAAATCTCGACCATTACAAAAAAAAGGTTCAAAAAGTAAATATCTTCTTTTTACAAATGACAGACAAATAAAATTTAAATAACTGAAATCTGCTAAACGAAGTTTTATTAAGCACCTGAAATAGTCAGAACGAAGACGAGTAGAGAGAATGCAAGGAAACCAAGTGAAATTTCTGCCATTTTGATCAGTTATGATGATGCTAATTAAAGAACACCGCTACGACTTGGGTGAAGAATAGGTTGAGAAGGAAAGGGTATTTATAGAAGGAGCTATAATAAAATCTGCGTCAAAGATGACAAATCTAAACAAAAAATCTAAGTATCCACGCATGTTGTTTCATACGAGCTTTGATGCACACTTTCATATGAAGATCAAAGAAAGATTAGGTAGTTATATACGCTTCAATTTTTTGATCATGTTCTAAAGTATTCTATGGGTTCCAACAGCCTACTAATTAAGGGTTTCCTGCCTTTTTAAGGATATGAGAAGAAGTCTCGTTCTTTGGACCATACACTAAGACACCAAAATACGTTCCATACCGTCTCCTAAACTTGAACACTGACCTCTCATACAGAATATATGACAAGATATAGGAGACGTTAAATAAACCCCTTCAATCATCATCAAGTATAACCATTAATGGTGGAACTCAAGTGTGATTTTGTACGAAATAACATGCCAATAACAAATTATAACATGCCAATAACAAATTAACAGTTGTTGATTGCATAGCTCTGGTGGAGATTTTCCACGCATTGCGGCGAATTTATCAATCATATATTTTGTCAGAATATTTTAATACACGAGCTTGGTACAAGGCCAAATATATAAAAAAGAAAAAACAAAACAAAGTCCTTAAACGCTATAAAAAAATAGATCATTACCGGCGACAAAAATCACCGCTACAAACTAAGCTCATCGTCGCTAAAGGCAATAGCAGCGACAAATCCCCTGTTCCAACGCTATTGCTCAAAAAAACGCCAACAATGCAATGTGTCGACGCTAATACATGTGTACCCCGTAATACTCACCATCGCCGTTAATACTCATGTCGTTGCAAATACATGTTGTCGCCACTAATTAATAGTGTCACTGCTAATACTATCTTTTTTTTAGAACAACCATTTTAAGGTGTCGAAACACCAATAAGAAACATCAAAAACGCAAATCATAACTGATACAATACTACATGTCAAATTAAGTAACAAAAGTGTTATAAAGTAATATGTTATACAAAGTATAACAAAAAATTTAATCATTGTTGGACTGTCATCATCATTGCTTCCTCGTTTCCTCGAGTATCACTTGGTTTTTTTTTTTTAAACGGTGAAGATTCTCCTACTACATAATAAATAAGAACACAAACTTATAAGTTAAAATATCAACATAAACCAAAACTAACTAACTAACAATTGCCAATAACCAATTACAAACTAACAAACTAACAATTGCCAAATTACCAAACTATAATCAAGCTAATAATTATTAATATGTAAGTAAACTATCAAATTACCAATTACCAAAGTACCAAAAAACCATTTGCCAAAGTTTTTAACAAATAATCATCATTAACCATACCAAACTGACATGCATACAAGGATCCTTTCATATATATATATTATATATATAATATATATATATATATAAGATATATATATATAGATAATATATATATATATTAAATATTCTTGTTTTTCATGCATCGATCCTCATCCACATTGATTTTTTGCAAAAAATAGAATTGAAAAAAACCTTGATAAATCTGATAAGATTCCATTATAATATGATAGTCACGTGATTTAATTCTGATAAGATTTTATTCCATTGCACTCACTAGACTAGATAAATTTCAACAATACCCTTTTAGAACCCTTAAGACATATATTGTTTCATAAAATATGTCCTTTTCTCATTCACAGATGTGCAAGATTCTACAAAAAGTATTTTTATGTTGTCTAATGTATCCTGTTCCAACTCTGGTTTTAACCCAAGATGCACCAGGCTCATTTGTACATTTCAACTATCTTTCATATTTCTTGAAATGTGGAGCAATGTCCCAATAAGTCTCTCAACTACATTCTTGTTTATATGAATTAAATCTACACATTGTTGGAAAATTATACATCTAATACTTAAGATATTGTTATATATGTTGCATTTCTTACAATAAGTGGATTTCGTGTTTCCGTTTTCCGATGTACCAACTCCCTATAATGTTTTCCTTTTTGTTTCCATCTTTCGATCGATGTCAATGTTTTCAGGAACTCCTAATTGATCATCCATATCTACTTTTCATAACTTATTTGTAATATATTTTACTTTGTTGTATATTTGTTCCCGTGTCATTTGTGTGATATGTTGTGGAGTGGTGTTGAACTCTTGTTTTCCGTTGAACGCTTTCTTCTGCCTTTTGAATGGATGTTCAAATAGTAAATATAACCTATGATCGACATAACTTTGTTTATGAGAGTGTGGAAGTCTAAGAAATTATGTTCCGTATACATTGTATAACATTTATATCCGATGTAGGGAATTCATAAATTTGACTAAGAGTGGGTTAATCTTTTATAGTCCATAAAAGAACTACATATAGAGTAAACATCTCTTGTGTATATGCATCATATATTTCAACTCCCACTTCGAATAAAAGCTAAAGATCATTAATCAAAGTTTCTAAAAACATCAATTTTGTTACATGGTGTATCTGATATTATTAATGACAAAATAATGAACTTTCTTTTCATATACAACCATAGCAGAAGATTGTAAATCACGATGAAAATGGGACATATATTGTGATTTCAATTTCAATTGTTTATATTAACCCCGTCAGTCGGAATGTGTAGCCGTATATTTCTTTGATCATTAGCAATTTCTGTAAATCTTTCATCTGTGGCACACCATATTAGTGACATTCTTGGGTGACGTAAAACAATGCTTATTGATCTCCATGTCTCGGGGCCATATTAAGTATCTCCCTTTTGTATTTCTTTGAAAGAGTTGTTTCATTCGTAATTTCTATTTCACATGTTTACGTCAATCCCGCCAGCCGAAATGTGTAGTCGTATATTTCTTTGATCATTAGCAATTTCTATAAATCTTTCATCTGTGGCACACCATGTTGGTGACATCCTCGGGTAAAACAACATACCGCTTTTTGATCTACTTGTCTCGTGCCATATTAAGTATCACTTTTTTGTATTTGTTTGAACGAGTTGTTACAATCGTGTAATAATAGAGAAGTACCATAATAAGTTTTTTCATAATGTTGTAATATAATTTCGTGTCTTGTCCTCTAACCTCAATCTTGATTTTCTACAAGTGGAGTATACATTCAAATCCTTATATTATTAATATACAAAATGCAGTCATTGATACATGCATGTATCATTATATACTTTGAACCCATTATTTTCATTGTTTTTGTAGCCTCATAAGTACCAAGCGTCATTTCATTGCCTTGATGTAGCATATTTTTTAACAGATTTAATAGTTCATTAGAGAACTTTTATGATACTCTTTACTTTCTATTCAAGTTGAGGAGCCCAACCATTATAGAGAATAATGTGAATTTAGGAGTTCCTTTGCTAAGGGGCTTTTCAAAATCTTCAGGTAGTGATTGGAAGTTCTCATTGTCGTCCAATAAATTGTATTGTGTATCTTTAACGCATGTAATTGTTTCAGTTTGCACATGTTAGGATTATTGATTCAAACTTCATATAATCAATAGTGTGCATTTTATTGTTGCCATTGAGATACATACTTTTTCCTGCATAATCATCTTTTATCCATGTTTAGTTTATATTGATTCACTTGCTTAATATTATTGTGGATATGTCCACTACACAACATGTTGGTAACATAAATTGATCACAAGGGAGTATATATGTTACGTAGTTGACCCAATATAAAAGCAATGAAAAATAAATAAAAAGGTAACTAATTTATTATTTATTGAGTTTTAATGGCTAAATAGAAATTAATATAATTAATTTATTATTTGTTAAAGTGTTAATAAATAATTACAAGTTAGATGGTGGGAGTTAATTAACTATGCTTGGAAGAATCATATTAATTATTTAAAATAATTAATAGATAATTAGTAATGAATAAAATAATCTTATCCTTTAATTCAAATTTGGAAGTGATAAGATTTCCACCAACTATATAAATGGGGGATTCATATGTTGGGTTTTATTCAAGAATTGATTTCTAAAAATACTAAAAACAGTAATGGCAGCTTTAAAATTATGAATAAGCTTAAAACCATTTTAACTCACCAATGATCATTTTGCAAAGGATGGAAAGATTAAATAAACTATAGAAAGAAAATATTACAACCTTTGAAGACTTTGATTCTACAAGACTGAAAGTTTATGAAGTGAGGCAAGAAGATCAAAAAAGTAGAAGCTATGTAGAGGTATCACCTAAGCAAGAGTAAACCACTTCAAGATGCTAGTCTTCAGTTGTATCAAGTTGTTCTAAAACATTAATAACTAATACCAGATAATTCCTAAAAAGTAGCAATTTATAAACCCTTAAATCATGCATCAAATTGCAAGACAAAGAGGAAGGAAAGAGAGCCTTATGCTCTTGCTTTTGGCAGCCCAAAAAGAGAAGAATATAAGAGGAAAAACTAGCTAGCTTTCACCCTTACACTCCTTTATATGCTATCTTATATGTAATAATGCACCATAAATTTAATCAAATCAAAGTATTGTCATGTAAGAAGTATGGGATGAAAAAAGTAAACACTACATTAAATCTCTTCCTCTTGGAAGATATTTTCTGGCATCATCACTAGGATATGATGGTGGTGTGTGTTATACTCCAACTCATAACTAGTGGTTACATACCAACTAGATGTTTAGTTAAAGTGTCCAAATAAATTGTACATAACATTTATATTCATACTATATTAAGTTGTTTTGGTTCACTTTTTATTATCATTTCCTAAAAATAATAATTTCCCAATTAGTTGTTAAAATTTTATTTTTATAAAGTAATAATTTTCCAATTAAAAACAAGTTTTGATAATATTTATTAATAATTAAAGTACTTTAATAATTAATTGTGACAACCCGGAACTTCAATCTTGTACAATTAATCAATTCAATCATTATTCAACTTGTTTTGTCAATTTCTAGTACTATTCAAGGGTTCATTTAAGTGTTCTAAGCTCGATTTTGACCAAGGTTGAGATTAGGAATGAGTCAGC